GAGTCAATGCCCTGGAAACAGCCCCAACAAATGATGGTGGGTAGGTGAAGGTTTTGGCATTTAAATACCTACGTTCCTAACATCTCTTGGTTGGGATCAGTTTGAGGCATGTTCCACCTTGTCTCCCAGAGTCCCCAGGGGGATCAGCTCAAGATGCCCAACATGGCTTGATAACTTCTTGTCTTTCATTATTCACTTCCTTAATTGTGTTCCTTGGGATCATCCCCCAAATAAAGTACTTACACTTAAATTCATGTCTCTGGGTATGTTTCTCAGAGGAATCCAAACCAAGGTAACTATTTTGTATGCATAAGTAGGCCAGGAAGGGGAGCTGCTTCTCATGAAATTGTCATTTATTCCTCCATCGTTAGTGATGCTCTACCCATTCTGCCTTTTATACCACCTAATTTCAGCTCCAGAATTTTCACTTGGTTCTTTTTAGTTTCTACCTCTTTGTTTATATTTTCATTTTGTTCATGCGTCATTTTTTTTTGTTTTGTTTCATTTAGTTATCTGTGTTTTAAGCACATTGAACTTCTTTAAGACACTTATTTTGGTAGCGCTTGGGTGGCGCAGTTGGTTAAGCATCCAACTCTTGATCTCAGTTCAGGGTTTGATCTCAGGATCTCTGTTCAAGCCCCACATTGGGCTTCACACTGGGCATGGAGCCTAGTTATAAAAAAAAAAAAGGCACCTATTTTGAATTCTTTGTCAAGTAATTCACAGATCCATTTCTTTATGGTCAATTTCTGGAGCTTTCTGTTGTTGTTCCTCTGATTGGGCCATGTTTCCCTGAAAACAGCCACCTCTTCAAGTCTTTATGGTAAGTAAGTTCCATACAGAGGAAGACCTTCCCCAGTCAGACTAGCCAGAGATTCTGGGGACCTCTGAAACTTCTTTAGGGGATGTGTCTTTTCTGTTGTGCACGTAATTTCCCAATTAGAAAGGTTTGCTGGCTTATTTTTTAGGAGCATATATTCTCTTGCTCTTTCTGGTGTCTGTTTGTGGTACTGCAGGTTCTCTGGGCCTACAACGAGCCCCAGAACTCTCTCTCTTGTTCTCTGGCCCCCTCAACCAAAGTTTGCTGGTTCCATCATCACTCCAAATCAGGCAAGACAGAATCCAGTCTCTTGGGCAGCTGGAATGTTTCATGCACAATCCACTCTTCTCTCTATTCTAAAGGAGAAGCCGTGAGTTAGGCTTTTTCTCCCCTGGGCTGTGTCAGCTGAGGGGAGGGGCAACTGCAGACAGAATGCTGGAGGGGAGAAGGGTGGGGGATGGGGTACCTGGGTAACGGACATTAAGGAGGACAGGTGATGTAATGAGCACTGCATATTACATAAAACAGATGAATCACTGAATTCTACCTCTGAAACTAATAATACACTATATGTTAATTAATTGAATTTAAATTAAAAAAAAGAATTCAATGGCTTTCCTAGACTCTTAACTATAGAGAACAAACTGATGGTTACTGGAGGGGAGGTCGATGGAGGGATGGGTTAAACAGGTGATGGATATTAAGGAGGGCACTTGCTGTGATGAGCACCGGGTGTTGTATGTAAGTGATGAATCACTAAATTCTACACCTGAAACTAATATTGCACTGTATGTTAACTAGCTGGAATTTAAACAAAAACCTGGGAAAAAGCCTTATATCTACTGAAGCAACATGTTACTTGAAAGAAGGTTTAGACACAGTGCAGTTTCAATGAGTAAAGCATACAGCCATTCCCATATGATTCTACACATACGTTTACTAAGACTTGTATCTTTTTTAAAAAATTTTTATTAACATATAATGTACTATTTGTTTCAGGGGTACAGGTCTGTGATTCATCAGTCTTACACAATTCACAGTGCTCACCATAGCACATACCCTCCCCAATGTCCATCGCCCAGCCACGCCATCCCTCCCAACCCCCTCCACTTCAGCAACCCTCAGTTTGTTTCCTGAGATTAAGAGTGTATCTTATTGAAAGAAGTTAGCTAGAGGATGCATTACATGCAGTGTAGTTGCAATGAGTTCACCACACATTCTCATATGCTCCCACACACATATTTAGAAACACATATCCTAATGAGAGAAGATATTAGTTGACGTATGCTTTGTACACAGTGTAGTTTCAGTGAATTAAGCATACAGCTATTCCCGTTGATTCTACACATACGTTTACAAATATATGTATCTTTTTTTCAGATTTTATTTATTTGAGAGACAGGGTGCCAAAGTGGGGGGCGGGCAGCGCAGAGGGAGAAGCAGACTCCCCGCTGAGCAGGGAGCCTGATTCTGGGCTCAATCCCTGGACCCTGAGATCATGACCTGAGCTGAAGGCAGCCGCTTAACTGACTGAGCCACCCAGGTGCCCCCAAATACTGTAACCTAATGAAATAAGATGTTAGTTGAAGGATGCATTACATACAGTGTAGTTTCAATGGGTTAATCATAAGACATTCCAATATGCATCTATACTTCTGTTTAGAAATCCTTATATCTTAACGAGAGAATACATTAGTTGCGGGATGCGTAATACACAGTGTACTTTCAGTGAGTTAAGCCTACAGCTATTCCTTTAGGCTTCTACACATAACTTTACAAACACTGGTAGCATAATGAAAGAAGATGGTAATTGAAAGACGCATTATACAGAAAGAAGCATTGTTTCAGTGAATTAAGCATGCGGTTATCTGCTCCGCTCCCCGCCCCCTCCCCAAAGGAATGCAATGGCTTTTCTTACCCATTTTAACGCAGCTGATCTTGGCTTTGCACTCACCTGGGGTATCATGACTTAACCAGCTTCTGGAGTTCTCATAAAGGCATTTTGGTCCATATATTGCTGTTAAGTCAGTGTCTTTGTGTAGGAACTACGGCTGGAGCTTCCAATTCTGTTATCTTTCTGACATTATTCTTATCTTCTATTTTTTTTTAAAGATTTTATTTATTTATTTGACAGAGACACAGCGAGAGAGGGAACACAAGCAGGGGGAGTGGGAGAGGGAGAAGCAGGCTTCTGGCATAGCAGGGAGCCCGACATGGGACTCGACCCCAAGACCCTGGGATCATGACCTGAGCCGAAGGCAGACACTTAACGACTGAGCCACCCAGGCGCCCTGTCACAAAAGTCTTAAAATATAAATGTTTGACCAAAGAGAACCAATTAAATAAATTGTATACTAAAACAAAAGAGAAGAAAAGAAAATGCTAAAGAAAGTAACGCCGTACCTTTCACATACCAGGTTTCTAAAAACACGACATTCTTTACATTCTCAGATCAAGGTGCACCTAACTATATCTTTCATTAATTAATTCCTTTTTTATTTTATGACTATATAAGTGGCTTTAAGAATATGTGGCTTAACTTCAGTAGGTCCAAGAACACCATGAAAATGTGACTTTACATGGATTGGGAAAACAAACCATTTATTGGCTTTGTAGCTTTTTGCTGGCCCAGCCAAGCAACTACACTGAGAGAAATGGAGACGATGCTCAGAATGAGAGTGGGATGAATCAGGGATTCTCTCCCCTGTGTCTGTGGGAATACCAGTGGGTTCATCTGTTTTCAGTGACAGGATCAACCAATTTAGTTCAACAAAAATGAAAGCAGACTAGTTGAACCAGACTTTTTCCACGGGTGCAGCTCAAGTTAGAAATAAGTCGCTTAAGGGCTTGCTGCCTTTATTCAATATAGATAAAACTCCTATACTGATAATTCCATAGAATTTTATGAAAATTCAATCCAATAAAATGTGTGCCAAGAGCTATGCTAGATGCCAGGAATACAAAAGTGAATAAAAAACTTAATTCTACTTTTAGATTCAGAATAAGATTTGCAAGTGACAAAGATGATATAGTGAAACTGCCTTGTATGTATCACTTGACTTTTGAGAATAGTTTAGTTATGCCATCAAAAGTGGCTACTCTTAGGCCCATGGCTGGATAGGCCTTTGAGTAGCAGAGGTTGGCTCAACCTCAAAAATTAAAATCTCCCGGGCGCCTGGATGGCTCAGTCAGTTAATCGTCTGTCTTTAGCTCAAGTCATGATCCTGGGGTCCTGGGATCGAGTTCCACGTTGGCTCCCTGCTTAGGGAGAAGTTTGCTTCTTCCATTCCCTCTGCCCCTCCCCCTGAAAAAAAATAGAAGATAAGAATAATGTCAGAAAGATAACAGAATTGGAATAATATATAATCCCCCTGATTATATATTATAAATAAATATAATCTTAAAAAAAAATTTAAATCTCCAACCACCACCATACCCTAGATGGCCAGTTCAACCTCTGGCCCAAGAGAAAGGAAAAGTTCCTTTCTCATCCTCATTGTAAGACCCACCTGTATTCCTGTTCAAAGATCACTGGCAATGGGATGTCCTTTTCTGACCCCAGAGTTTCTGACCCCATTCCCTTTAGGAGTAAATCCGTATCAATCACAGCTTCTGGCCCCAGGTCTAGACAGTCCAAATAGTTGATAGTACCTTTCCTAAAGTCTGGCCTATTCAGTTTTTTAAAAGTACTAGAATAAATAATACTTTTCAAAGACAGTAGAGTCTAGGGCTAAACTTAGGTAAACATTTTCTTCTATAAGGGCACAAATAGAGTCAACACATTATTAAAACGAAGACTAAATATCTCAATTGGAAGTATGTGCATTCCAGTTAATGTTGACAAGGCAGAGTTTTCTGTCAAACAGTAGATACATATTTGCTTCATTTGGAGATCTTAAGACAGATAGAAAGAAAGAAGTTCCATTGATGTTACCACTGCTAAAGACAAAAGAAGCTTCCCCCCTTTTTAAAAAAGATATATTTATTTATTTTAGAGAGAGAGAGAGCACGCACACACATGGTAGAGGGGAGGGGCTGAGGGAGACAGAAAGAGTCTTAAGCAGACTCTGTGCTGAGCCCAACACAGGGCTTGATCTCAAGACCCTGAGATCACGAACTGAGCTGAAAACCAAGAGTAGGATGCTTAACCTACCGCACCACCCAGGTGCCCCAAGAAGCTTTCCCTTTTAAGTGACACTTGCCTCATTCAAGTTCTCACCATCACCTGTGGCAGGGGATGGTGAAGCCTCCCATCCTGAGTATCTGCAGCTTGTCAATGACTGTATTTTCTGAGGGTGGATACCCGAGTCACATTTTGGTATCTTCTTTGTCTCTTAATCTGTTAATGAGTATCTACCACATGCTTATGGGGAGCATTGCATTATATTTGCTGCTTTTAATGTCATTTTTAACCTCTGCTTTTATTCCTTTGGTTACTGTCCTAGGGAATTCTGTGATTGAGCTAGTCATAATTGCATGCTCGAGTGGGTTCTTTCCCATGTACAATATAATAGATCTGCCTGTGAAAGCATGAGAAGATTTTACCAGGTCCTGCAAGAGATGTCGTGGATGTTCATGGAAGCTGTCACATCCAGCAATATCAATCCAAATTCCTCCATGAATCAGTAAAAAAAAATTCAGAGGATTGCAACATTATCAGCTTCTGTCTTCTCTCATCAGTATAGCCTAAAAGAATTTTAAAAATAAAACATACTGACTGGTTGATAAAATCGATTGACAAATCACAATGTGATGAAAGGAGAGACTGCCAGTAAAGTCAGGTCAGACACAAAATCAGTGATGTGGGTACCTGCTGAATCAAAGACTATGGGTGTGCACTTGCAAACCAAATTTACCCATGAATAGCAAAGCTAGCCTACAGAGTGAGGTCGCCTGAACCGGCAGAAAAGCTTCTTGGGGATGGAAGGATGCAATACTAAGGAGATGAAGTGTGGCCCTGTCTTCCACCTCCATGATTTACCATGAGCTGTGAACACAGAGAGGCTAAGCTGAATAAATCTACTGATTTATCATTACTTAAGAAAAGCAGAAAACAATTTAATTTTCTGCTGGGTCCAGCAACTCAGTGAGCAAAAATACATATGCAATGAAGTTTCCATTATACCATGTATAATAACCACAAGGCAGTCTTCTTTTCTCCTCTGCTAGACAATGGGGAGGTGTCACCCTAACAGATGCTAAGAGAACACGTCCCTGTGGCCATTCTGTGCTGATGGAGATGCTGAGAAACAGTTTTCTGCAAGTCTTGCGTACATAACCATTCACAACAGAGAATTTCACTTCAATTCAAAGGAAGTTATCATGCTCTTATTCTTCTTGAAGACGAAATCAACTATAAAAGAAGTCTAAAAAAATCACAGGGCACATGGTTCACTGAGTTGGTTAAATGTCTGACGCTTGATTTCAGCTCAGGCCATGATCTCTCAGGGTCGTGAGATCAAGCCCTACGTTGGGCTCTACACCGAGCATGGAGCCTGCTTAAGATTCTCCCTCTCCCTCTCCCTCCGCCCCTCCCTCCCCCCACCACGTACGTACTCTCTCTAAAAATAAATAAGTAAATAAATAAATATTTAAAAAGAAGTCCAAAAAAATCAAACTTTTGTCTATTTTTGTTTTGTTAAGGCTACTTCTCCAAAGATTTTAATGTGTATTTTTTTGGGTCAGTTCTAGATTTGGGGAGGTTTTGATTGACAATCTAATGATACACTCTCAACAGCTGTGCTGCAGGAACTCCCCAGAAAGAGTTGATAGTACCTTTCCTAAAGTCTGGCCTATTCAGTTTTTTAAAAGTGGGACCCAGGTCCCCCCTCCTCTCAGCCTCTCTGCTCAGGATTTCTTGAATCTGTTGTACAGTGTGATCAGCTGTATTGCACAGGGAAATAGGTAAGAGATAGATAATTGAGAAGAGGAGGGTGTAGTGGGCTTTGGGCACCAGAGAGTGGAGGAGAGGGCCCAGCAAGAGGAACAAGGGGGACAGAATAGAAAATACAGCTGCAGGGCAGGTAACATTATGGACGTAAGATAAATGAATGGAGAAATTTCCTGCCATAGTTGGGGTAGAGAGACAAAGATGGGACAGCTCACTGCTGCTGGCAAGGAATGGCGGGGGATAGAGTGTGCACACTGAGAACAAAACTCAGAAGGAAGGCTGTATCAGTTTTTTTTTTTTTTCAAAGATTTTATTTATTTATTTGAGAGAGAGAGAATGAGAGACAGAGAGCAGGAGAGGGAGGAGGGTCAGAGGGAGAAGCAGACTCCCTGCCGAGCAGGGA